GTAGTTAATTGGAGCCATCAGGACACACCCTAGTTCTATTTCCTGGAGTAATCAAACTTTGTACAGCTACTTCTTGGTAAATCTAGCTTCTTAACTATCTTGGGTTTTCCCTTGCTTTTCCCCCCCACTGACAGTTTCCTCTGTCATGTGGCCCTACGTCTGCATTTTATGTCTATAACCAGCTCTTCATAAGAGTACAGATTTCTTTTAAAGTGTTTAAATAATTGCTATGCTTTTCACAATAAAAGCTCTTGATTCTGCCTCTATTTTTTTTCCTGCATGTACTGTACAGAGAAGACTTACTGGCTCAGGTCACCAGTACAGTCTTCTCTGAGTGGTTGATGATGAGTTAATAAATTTAGGATGAATTAAACAGTAACAAGCAGCACCACTGAAAAGAGCATGAGAGAAAACAGCAAGCAAAGCTCCTAAAAAGAAACCACCTCGGCTTCTTGCTATACTGAAGGCATCAGCCCCAAGTGCCTGAAGAACTCAAAATATAACTGAATGATAAATGTAGAGCTGTCCCAAATATCACATCAGAGATTACAGACTTCATATCTATGTTGACTAACCAAACCCTTGGAAAAGCAACTAAAGGAAGTAGGAGGGGAATCAGAAAACACCCTAGGCGGTATGTAAAGAGCTTTGTCAAACCTCTCTCCCCATGTTCTAGTAGATGTGGAATAGAGATCTTAGGAGAAATTAATGCCCTGTGAATTGAGACAATTAACATCAAACAGAGGCAATATAATGAGGGAACTTTATGGAGAGCAACATTCAAAGGAGAATTGGCTAGAGCAAGATAACCTATATTCACTGCAGTATTTCCTGATTATCCATTATCAGATGTTCTGAGCCCCTCATACCAACTTACTCTAGTCCTCTTCTTAGACTGGCTGTTACACAAATGGGATGAGCAGATGAACCATAGCCAGAGAAGTAGTCATGGGGCTGTGTGGGAGTGCAGGAGGGGAGGGTGTAACAATTCAGAAACACTGATTTTTGAACTGAGAATAAGCCCTACTCCATCAACTTTTCCTCAAAGCTTAGAGATTTCTCCTCAGGGACTCTTATTTACTCTACACTCTACCCTAACCAAAGCAGTAAAAGTTATCCTTTGGCATAGTGATTCGCAGCTGCATATAGCAGTTTGGAATGGATCTGAAAGGTGTTTTATACTGTAACCAATAACCCCTAATCTGACTTTTTTGAGAGGTTTGGCTGTGGGTTTCTCATTTTTTTTTCACAATAATCTTCTATGTAGTTCATGACTTGAGCAAACCTATAGTGATTTGTGCTTTTGCAGCAGAATTACCTAAAATGTGGTACTGACACAATGAATAGCAAGTCTGCAAACCCAGGTAGAGCAAACCCAAAAAATATGCTTGCCTAAAATCCATGCAAAGCAAGACTTCCAGCTTCCACACAGCTCTAAAGCTGAGGCACAGAGAGGCTAAGTAAAATTAATGGGGTGATTAACAAGGCCACCCCGTTTGTTAGACAGAGCTGAAAATAGAACCCAGGAGTACTGATTTCTCGTCCCTTGTTCTAACAAATATTACCAACCTGAAGAAAAACCAGAACAACAAGATACTTATCCTGAACCTCTCAAGTCATTTCTAGACTGCACACACTCAATAGCATTCAGATAGCAATCAGTCAACCAAAGAAAAAAAGTAATGTATTTTCCATATAGTGGTGACAGCTGTTTATAAAACACATTATGTTATGTATTAACATCTTCTACTGGATGGAATAGTCCTAGTTTGTTCACGTGCAGAGGCTCCCTGTATCAAAAGAGCTGCTTCTTTAGTTCCTTAAGTATAGATCTATGGAACCAAAGTGCCCAGCACAGCAAAACACCTAAGCACATGCCTAACTTTAAGAACACGTGTGATACCTCTGCTTAGTGCTTAAAACAGGATCAAGCTCAAAGAGTGAAAGTTGTCTTCCTGGCACTGCACGTACGACAATTGTCCATGGATAGCTGGGCTGTATTTTGCTGTACATTTGTTCTAACTGTACATAACACATACAGACTATTTGAAATATTATGAAACTGGCCAAAATTCACACTATTTAAGGTAAGTGGTAACAATGTAGTTTAAGTGTCTTTCCAACATAGCTACCAGTTTATGCAAAATGTTGTAGGTTCTTAAGATTTTAGGAGAGATCTGTATCAAACTGTTCTGCCATGTATGTTTTGTGCGCTATAAAATTATCATATTCTGCTGTACAAGACCCAAGGAAAAATAATCGCACCACCACCAAATTTGCCTTACTCAGGCAAAACTCCCACTGACTTCAGGATTTCACAGACTGTCAACACAGTGTTACCCATCATTTTCCTTTCTTTAGTTTTGCTTCTATTCCATTCAGAGTAAATATACAAGGCAATTAAATTCTAGCAATGTATTACATGTGGAACAGTGATAGACCTTGAGTTAAGAACTAGAAGAGCACCCTAATCCCATGGAAACACCAACATTCCATAAAAGGTGTATAATGGAATATAATGGAACGTATAATATACGTTAGCCTTCTTCCATTGTTTTGTTTCTGGAATGTGTGAAGAGAGCATGTATGCGTTTTGTCAATTACCCAAAATTTATGCCAACTGATCCAGAAGCCTGGGATATCTCTACAAGTATTAGCATAATCAGTGATGGGATTGCAAAAAGGGTTTTTATGAGTAAAAGCAAGGTACCATCTGAGTATAAAATTATTGCCATAATTTTAAACTCAGACATTTGTTTCATAAGCTTATCACTAAGGATTGCAACTATTTTACTGTTCCTCTAATTTTGTTAGACACCTGGGATTGCAGGAGTTCTTATACCACACAGACTGTGTTTTATTTAATTTCATTGGCCAACTTACTTCCTTATATGAAAGCCTGCCATTCCCATTTAAATCAACGGGATTACTAAATGTATTCAAAAACAGAATCTGCCCTTCTGTATTTATCAGACTACATGCATATGCTGCAGAGAAACATGAGTTCTTCTTTTCCTTGCCAAAACACTCTAACAAATCTTATTCATAGGGAGGTAAATTGAGTCCTGCCAGAAGAAAAAACAACTTTTAAATCTTTCTCTTTGTTCAAGCAACACCACATGATTGTGTGTGAAAGAGAAAGAATGAGAGACAGAGCATTAGCCCAAATCTAGCAAGTTTAGGGACAAGACGGTCAATTGAGCAAAACTTCAATTACAGACTAATTTAATGTAGACCCAAGTACATTATTGCAATTCAATAAACATCTCTTTAGAATTAAGTGATTCCAATTTGCTTTCATTTCAGCTGTGTGCACGCATTTAGAATTTGTTAGTATCCACACCAAAATTAGTCAGATTCTTTCAGAAACACTGATCCATGCAATCCCAAAGTGACACCACTGGTGCATGGGACTAACCTCAAATCAACCCCACTGAAAAATGTACCTGCTTAGAAAAAAAGGTGCAAGACTTGGCAAAATAATATTTTATTAACCCTTAATTATCTCTCCTTTTTAGTTCTTCTACCATCTCTTGATCTAGGTGTCTAGGTACCCGTGTAACCCTAGCAACAAATTTATCAACAGCTCTTCTGCTGGATACTTCATCCATCGGTATTTACAACTTGCTCTTCAATCATCTTACCTTCAATGGTTTTTGATCAGGAGACTGTCAGACACCTCCCAGCCTTGTGCTCATTCCTACACATCACACTGCCAAAGACTGAAGACATGTGTCAATCTTTGGGATGCTTCCCCACAAATACTCCATGATACAAAGGATGTGTATCAACATATGGGGCAAGTCTCATGGTAGGCAAATTCAGTCCCAATACCCTTTGATATATATTAGCCACTACAGTTTTCCACACAGGGCTGCATTTCAAAGAAGCCTAACACTAGCAATTAGAATATTTGTGGTTCAGACAACAGCTACCTTTATTGAATTGATTTAAATATTCCCTCCTTTTATTAAAAATGTAAAATCTAGTATTAAAACATTCACATTTTGCACCTAGCCTCCTGGCAGTCACCCACATTTCTTTCAGGGATAACTGTGGTTGTGAATCATTCTTTAGCACAGTCCTTTTAAGGGATTCCGAGACTGTAGTATATTGTAGCTGTGGCCAGATCAGTGCAATCAACCCAGATTCCGGGGACAATAAAAGTGACTTAAAGACACCTTTGAACTCTCCCCTCCTGATCTCTCCTCAGGTGCAGCTCAAGATCTGAGCCTGACTAGAAACCCCAATTCCCTCCTTGAAGTAAGTTAAAATCAAATAGACAATTAATGTTTTGGGAGTTTGTTAAAAAAATAAGTCTGCATGATAAATGACAGTTCACCCAGTGCATCCTGTGCACTCTGAACCTATCCTGTTCCAAGCTCTTTGGGCAAAGACTGACTATATTTTTTTGGTAGTTGCAAAAAAAATTCTTGGGCAGTTTCAGGCACACTGACACAGGAGTGATAATAGATAGCACTGGAACAAAGACCTGGCTGCAGTCCTCCTTAATTAGTATTGCTGCTGCCGCTTGGCACTTTAGGGCAACAGAAGAGCCCACCCTGACACCATTTACATAGCGACATAGAACACACTATGGCACCTTGACAGGATTATTTGTGCCTTATAAATTACTGTTAGGGAACAAAGCTGAAATCTAGAGGTGGTCAAACTGTTTCATGGAAAAAATTAAAGTGTCATTAAAAATACTTATAAATCTGTATAATAGACATAATTAAAGGGCTGATAAATGGGGTGGTAGCCAGAGAAAGTTTCCCTTCTTCATTCAGTTTTTAAAAAGAGGACTGAATCTCTTCTGTAGTTTACACCCTATATTTACACTTTAAAGTGCTATAAACTAATGAATGAGGCAGATATTTAGGATTGTAAATATTACACACAGAACAGCTGCCATTTGGGAGAAAAATGTGCAATATCTACACACACACACACACACACAAAATGCATGATATATGTGTTGTTGGGTTCTTGCCACCTACCTTTCACAATTAATTCTGCATAGTTTGAAACGCCAGAGCCACCATCTGAGCGAATGACACACCGGTATTTGCTGATGCTGCGCTGAGACGTGTCTGCTACGCTGACTGTAGCAGAAAACCGTCTGTGGTTGACCACCCTGGTGACCATTAACGCGGTGTCCCTTCCATTCCACTGCTGCCAGGAAACCAAGAATAAAACAAGTGATGAGGATGTGCCTGTAAAACATGGCTTTTTTTTTTTAAGCTACTGACCAATTTTTGTTATTATATTTTATAGTAACACAGTTACACTTTTTTATTTACCTGAATCTACCATGTTAGAATTTACATAGGTGCAAGTTTCCAAAAGACCTCCAAATGTGCACCCACTAAATGTACTGGATACCTGTTTGTGTGCACTCACATGCACTTGTACCCTTGCATACTGATGTGGGGAGTTGTATATGCTTTCAAGTTTTGCGGATATATTTTTGGATTGCATTTAACAGTTTGACTCATTATACATACAGCAATGTCTAGGTAGGAAGATGATCCAAACTTCCAGAGATGTTCATATACAATGTATTTGCATGCTTAATTAGCATGTGCAACTAACTACTACAACTGAACAGATTTTGTACAACCTTTTCTTTGTGGATGTTCAGATGTGGGAGTTTGTTTCAGACTAATTTGAAGACAGACCATTTGCAAAATTTGGGTTGAGATCCACGTTTAGATTTTGAACACTCCCAATTTTTGAAGATGTTCAGACCTTCCAGGATTTTGGTTCACATTCATTTTGGCTAATCTGGATTACCTATTCTTCACAACAACTGGAACTGAAGTAGGTGAAAGAACTAGGCAGATATGTGAGTAAGGCTGTGAAAATGTAGTGTCATTTTGCCAATTTCTAGCAGTCAGTAATTCTGGGTGATGTCACTTTCATGAAATGCTCCCAGTTTGAAGAGTGGTAAACAATTTCTCACTAGCAACGAAAATGCGTTTCCCCCCAAACCCCTGAATCTGGGGTGGGTGGGTATGTTCTCACATTATTTAGGTCAGAAACATTTTTCCACACCTCTAATCATAATGGCAGATGCATTTGGCAGCAAGAATCCAAGCAAGCTAATGCTTAAGGGATAGCTCAGTGGTTTGAGCATTGGCCTACTAAACCCAGGGTTGTGAGTTCAATCCTTTAGGGGGCCATTTAGGGAACTGGGGTAAAAATTTGTCCGGGGATTGGTCCTGCTTTGAGCAGGGGGTTGGACTAGATGACCTCCTGAGGTCCCTTCCAACCCTGATATTCTGTGTTAATTCTGTGTTAAGCAATTACACATCTCAGAGGGTGGTTAGATTACAACATAAAAAAAAATTCAGATAAAATGGAACTGCTAGGATATGAAGGTGTGTGACGGCAGCACAGTTAAAGAGACTTAGGTTATTTTGTATAAAACATATTACATTTCTTACTGACTCAAAAGTTTCTCCCATACTGATTTTCATCTTTTCAGCATTAGACAAACTGATTCCTATCCCCATCTCTTTCCCATGTTTAGAATGAAATTGGTATTTAAATTTGTTTTAAAAGTTTTAACTTCATTCCTTAGGCTACCAAAACCCCTTTGTTAACAAATCAGGAATATCACAGCAATTCTGGCAATGGTGCGTACCTGTCTGCAGAAGCAGACGGTTCTAGAAATATTGTTCTCTGTAGGCTCTATAATAATAAAGAATAGGGACTAAATTTTGCTCTTAAAACCCTAATGCAGCAAAGTTTAAATTCAGTTGTCTTAAATGAGCCTTGCATAAGAACAGCTATACTGAGTCAAACCAAAGGCCCATCTAGCCCAGTATCCTGTCTTCCAACAGTGGCCAATGCTAGATGCTTCAGAGGGAATGAACAGAACAGGTAATCATCAAGTGATCCATCCCCTCACCCATTCCAAGCTTCTGGCAAAGAGCGGCTAGGGACACCATCCCTGCCCATTCTGTCTAATAGCCACTGATGGACCTTACACGTGTGATTTGCTGAATCCAGACCTCAGTTGCACCAGTGTACAACTCATTTTTAAGTACAGTTGCCTTGCTCAGACTTAACATAAGTACAAGAGCAGATTTTGACCCTGTGTGCATTTGAAGTACATATAGCAAAAGGAAGTCTTACTGGCTTCATTGGGATCTTAGTAGTTTAACAGTACAGAGTTTAAAGGAAGAGAAGAATTATAGTATTTAAAGCCTCTATGCACAAAAAAGTTGTAATTTTAAGATCTGGAGCACTTTGAGGGCTAGAAATAATTAGTGACCCTCAATGAGAAGCTGGAAGTCTCCCCTTTCCAGTTTGTTAAAGCTTCCATTTCTAACCCTATAAGACTGGGAAGCTCTGATCTTAAGTCTGTTACTGTACCCAGACTTCTGGTGCAGGCAAGCCGTGCTATGGTGCAGGACATATGGAGGAATAAGGCCTTTTGCTCCCCTGATCTTGGAGCCAGTTGGGGACTGGCTCAACCCCATAGTAACACAGAGCAATCCAGGTGCTGGGGTAGTGGGTTGGTAAGTGAGGGGAGGGGTTGGAGCAAAAGGTGTCACCAGCTTTGTACCACCTGGGTATTCAACCTAAGGAAAATCACTAGCTGCCCCTTTAGGGCATTTTTCCAACTGCTTTGTCTGCTGGTCCTGAGCCTGGGATCAATGTGCTTTGGGGGAGTGGGAGGGAAGAGATGATTCCACACAAGGTGGAAACATTCTTGATTTTTAAAATTGATATATTATAATGGCAGGTGTTTGAAGCAGTTTGTGCATTTGATCTGGTAGGATAACTTTCAGGGGAGTCTGCTAGGGGGCAAAGGGCAAGTTAGATGATCAAAGGTGCATGATTATTATTTATTCTTAGCGTTGTGGCAATGCCTAGAGGCAGCAATAAGGTTAGTATTAGGGCTCAGTCATGCAGTCTTTGATTAATACGAATAAAGGTTGCAGGATCAGGCTACAGGTTTACTATGAACGTAACACATTTGTTACATTTTCTATGGTGGCCCCACACAGCATTACCTTGAACTCTGAACTGCAACTTTAAACAGCTTCTTCAACAAAGTAGTTTGGAACTTTGCCCCTATCCGTCAGTTCTTCCTCACCTCTACTCATTTTGACTATGGATGGTTAGAAAGAAAGACCACCAGCCCAAGCTTCATGGCACTTTACCTGGAGCCAGAGTTTGTCGTGCTGAGACCACTTCCCCCCGGCGATGCACTGGAATGTTGCATTCTGTCCCACGTTGACCTCCACATTCTGCAGCCGCAGGAAGTGAGGCGCTTTTCCTAACAAAAAAAATTCAAAAGTATTACCCAGGTAGAGCATGACAGTAATTGATGGTGTCATGTAGCCATGGAAAGATTCAGGCTCAGCAGATCAGAGAAGAATGCCAGGCTTCCCCATTGACACAGAGACTTCACAAAGCAAAGCCAAGCAGTATTGTTTAATTATTTAACATGGGGAGATTGATCTTATGCAGTAAAGCCAGATGGCTCATGTAACCCTTTGGCACAATAAGAAAGTGCCCTAAGTATCAGCTCTACAATAGAAGTTCACAATTATTTCTAACCAGCACAGTTTCATTACTGTTTGCTATAAGCAGAGAACAATTTCTTCTGCGGAATGGGAAAATGTCACAATTTAAAGGGTCAAACATTCAAATAGTGAATTTGCAGTGAGTGATAGACACAAGCAAGTTTTCCTAAGGCTTTTTCAGGTTCACTGATTGTGAAGCAAAACCCTGGAGTTTCAGAGCTGTATCACTTTGCTGTTAGATTTTAAACGTCCATTCCCTCATTCACCAAAAACAAAACAAACACACCATGCACACACATACCACAACAGACCGGTGACTTTTAGAACTAAGCAACAAAGCCAGGCTGTTTCATGTCTGAGAATTAATTGAGAGGAAAATAAAGCATTACAACATGAGCATACAAGGCTATGAACTTTATAATATTCCAGTTGACCATTTTTAAATGAAATTCACCTGTGCAGGTTGCCAGCACAAGGTGTATATACTACTTCTACCCCTAGGCCTTGTGCTGTTCTGAATTTTATTCTGAGTTTATTACTAGATTTAGGATGATTTAAAAAAAAAACTGACAGATCATTGCACATTATTATGACTAGACCTTCAATGAGCCATGTCATTTCAGAGACTATATCCAACTATATTCCCAGACAACCGCCATTAAGTACCTGGAAAAGGGTGTGGGCACCTATAAGCCTTTATATATGCAGAACAAGTAACAGCGTCTAGACACCTATTTACATGCACATATGCTGGTGCAAACAAGTTTGGCAGACATTAACAGAGGCCAGTTGAAAAGTTGGTCCATTGTATGTACATGTCTGTACTATATAATTTAGTAGTTGCCATTCACTTAGATTGCAAACAGCCCAACCAGCTGACCTAAAGTATCCCTATACTATGATCTTTATAGCTGGTCAGTAGTTGTAGCAAAATCTATTGAGAAACCAGCCTTTGGCTGAAGGTGGATTATGCAGCCCTGTTACCTGAAACAGAGGCCTTAGCACAAGTGAGCAATGTGCTGCAGCAGAAGTTATAACAGCTGAAGTGGCTGGAGAACTGAGGCATCTAGTTTTCCCCTTTAGTGCTTTAGTAGGGGCCACGTCTGCTGATTTTTAAGCTTGTGTCTGCCACACTTAAGCTATGAAAAAAGTAAAAATTAGGTGAAAATAAGGGCTAATAATGTCAAACCCTTCCTCAGCACGAGTTTACCAGCAGTGTTCTGAGTAATAACTATTGTAAAATGAATGTGAGGGATGAAAGCCATAAAAGTTCACAGAACATGTCACTGATATTTCAAGGTGGCTTTCATTCCTGGACCTCTGCATGTGACCTGAGCAGTAGAGGGGTGAAGCATTAGGAAAGACTGCAGGGGATTTATAGCTTATATGGAACACTATACCACACAGGTTGAAAAAGTCCCCCAAAACAGGGTATGATGTGCATGGTTTGGGCCACTTTTACTGCTATCAGTCTCCTTTTTAAGCTTGAGCTGTGTGGAAAACTTAAAAACACAAGGATAGCCTATTGGGTCAGACCAATGGTCCATCTAGTCCAGTACCCCGTCTTCTGACCTCAGACAGTGCAAGATGTTTCAGTGAGAATGAACAGAACAGGGCAATTTCGAGTGATCCATCCCCCATCGTCTAGTCCCAGCTTTTTGCAGTTAGAGGTTTAGGGAAACCCAGAGAACAGGGTTGCCACACAAACTCAACTCCATCAATACAATTCTAGCAGTCAAATCCTACAGTCCCTGAAAGGAATGGGAGTTCTCCAGGTAAGAACCCAGGATTTTGTCAACTGATACTAGCCAAGTTGTGATGCATGTTAACTATACTGCTCTGTTTAAAGTTAAAAGGAAGGAGGCAGCTGAAGTCCAATTCTTTCTGAATATTTACAAGGAATTTTTTTTCCCTTCTACATTTCTCAAGGCACAAGGTGCTTTTGCAGTCAGCCGTGGACAATAAATAAGCTTCCAGAATATGAGGGAAATAGAAGGCTCAGAAAGTGATTAAGCTTTTAGGGCCAGATTCTCCAAGCTGCTCAGCAGGCAGCAATTCCCATGGAGAATAGGAGCTGTGCATTTTCGAAGATCTGATGCTTAATACATGAGTCAGATCAGTGAAGTGTGATATTAGCAGCATTGCTGTTTCTCTACATAGATTTCATACACGATGGTGTCAAATCAGGAAATCATCCCTATTCAGTAAAATACTTAGGCATGTGCTGAACTTCAATTTGGGACTTGCACACATACTCAAGAAATGGGATTAATGGGATGAGGCACCACTTTAAATGCTTTCCTGAATTTGGGCCAGAGCCGGTGTCCTCTTTTTCCCTTTTTACGGCCAATAACTTTCTTGCCCAGTCACTGCCTCGTGACTGGGTAAGCAGATTCTTTGCTACAGCCAACGTGTTACTCCATGTAAGCACACCATTTGGGGGATTTGTTTGGATGCTGCCAATCAGCTGCAGCATGTGGTTAATATTGATAGTAATTATATCTTAATGAGGTAAATGTACCCAAAGGCATAGACAATGGGCACATGTCATAAATATACATATAATAAAGTAATAATGGCGATTATCCATACCTCAGTTATCAGAACTGCCCTGTTATATTAAACTGGCTCATGTCCCCTGATGTCTATCACATTAAATGTTAACTGTAGGAAGCCACTATTTGAAAGTTGTAATTAATCCCTGTTGTATGCCGCTCACTGAGGTTACAGTAAATAGATACATGATCAATGTGATTTCAGGAAGTGTAGCAGCTGTACTAATATACCTGGAGCTGTGAATTGGTGAGGGGAGAGATGTAAAGCACAGTAAATGGAGTGGATGGTTTGCTGCCTTTCCAAGTATGACCGGGCAGATAGAAGACACTACCATAGGTGCTGTATATGCAACATTAGATCATGACTAACAAAACTGAGGTGTCACCCAACAGTGCAATTCAATCCCAAACTCTTCATGTATTGAAACTCTAAAAGGCCTGGGAGCAGCTGAGGATTGCTCAGGAGAGCATGAGTCTCAGCTCAGATAACTGAATTGTTTGAAGGGGAAGAGCACATGAGGCATGGCTAGACTCATTAAAGGGCATGAAGTCTCTTACAATGTTTAAAAAAGGGATTTTTAAAAATTGTATTTCACTTAAATGGCCAAACTAACACCCTGGATCTATACAAACATGGGGAGAGTTCCGATCCAGTCGAAAAATCCAAATAGGACACATCACATATAGATAAAACTGGGGGGACAAATACAGCACTAACCAGCTTTCACAATGCAATGGACTTGTATTCAACTCTCTGTGTAAGCTTGTGTCTCTCACCAACAGAAGCTGGTCCAGTAAAAGATATTACCTCACCCACCTTGTCTCCAGTCCACAGTAAGTTGAACGCTTTGAAAAATGATACATATTCTTTAAATACCTTCATGGAACTGCTGCGTGGATTTACACTCTGTTAAAGAAGATAGCTTTGGGGTATTTGGGAATGTTGCACTAATGTCTGCAAATGCACTTTTTAAAAGTTAACTGTGCTATCAAAAAACCTTTCATTCTTCCTCCTTGAATGGTCTGAATAAGAGCTAACAAACAATCAGAGCTTTATATTGCTTTAATAATAGAGAAAGATTTAAACAGACATTTTGGCACTGGCTGTAGATTCTGAGCTTTGCTGCCTGTTGCACGACTTGCAAAATTATGTATTTATTCCAGGCTGATTGCCTTCACTCCGTAAGCATTTTGGAAGGATAAAAGATGATGTTTTAAAGCTGATTGAATTGGGTGAATTGCTCCTTCACACTGCAAAGCCTGGTATAACACATTAACATGGCTAGAGAAAGAAAGAGTGCTTACTGCATGGATGGGCAAGGACTCTGACTTCATCCACAGCTATGAACCCCGGATGTCCCTTCAAAGACACGGATTCAAATATCACCTGAAACACAGTGAGAAAAGCCTTTCTTACAAACATTAGCTGCAGGAATCATTTTAACGTTTGCCCCCTCCCGCCCAACCCAAGTGCCTGAATCATTCAGGATTCTCCGATTCTGTCATTCTTGGTGGGGACTAAAGACCTGTTCAGGTGTGTGCACGCATATCAAGATGCTTTCTCAACTAGGTTTTGCACTGAATTTCAACTCCATTTGGTACAGAAATTGCTAGAGATTTATGATAACCTAATTTACCTCATTACCAGGAACAGAGAACCCTTTGTCAGTCTTTTATTTGGAATAAAGACCCACCTGAGCTGAAATTCATTGCCGATCTGAGGCCCACTGTGGGAAGTCATTAGAAGAGGGGGGTGTTATTTAGTCTGGAGAAAAGTAGAATGAGGGGGGATTTGATAGCAGCCTTCAACTACCTGAAGGGAGGTTCCAAAGAGGATGGAGCTAGGCTATTCTCAGTGGTGACAGATGACAGAACAAGAAGCAATGGTCTCAAGTTGCAGTGCGGGAGGTCTAGGTTGGATATTAGGAAGCACTATTTCACTAGGAGGGTGGTGAAGCACTGGAATGGGTTACCTAGGGAGGTGGTGAAATCTCCATCCTTAGAGGTTTTTAAGGCCCAGCTTGACAAAGCCTTGGCTGGGATGATTTAGTTGCTGTTGGTCCTGCTTTGAGCAGAGGATTGGACCTCCTGAGGTCTCTTCCAACCCTAATATTCTATGATTCTATGAACCTGTTACAGATCCTAGTAAGTGGCCCCTCATTACTACGCACTAGGACAGATGTGAGGGGAATCCAACCCACTGTGGTCTGGATTGCCAGGGTTGTTTTAAGTCCCTGGATCCTGAACAGAGTCCAGCCACTTCCCCAATCTCGGGGTCCCTAGACTTACTCTCAGGGCACAGATCTGCTGTCTGGACGTCCACCCTGAGAACTGGAACCCACTGTCCAGCTGCCTAGCTCATCTGGGAACAGAAGTCACCCCTCAGGCTCCCTCATACTTAAAACACACCCTCTCCCAGAACTCCACCCCAAAGCTGTGAAACTTCTGGGTTGTGTAGGTATGCAGCAGTTGTGAAGCAGTCAACACACTTACTCCTTGCACAGAGTCTAACACATTTGCTCTTTTATACTTCATCCTGTAAAGCACAAGAGTACAGATCATACACAACAACAAGCCTCTTAAACCTCACTAGCTCACCCTTCTGTTGTAAGCCCTTGGGGGACCATCTGGGTCCAGGAAGGCAGATAGACAGAGCATCCCATGCCTTATTCAGGCTGTTCCATACTGACTGGCCTCTCTCCCTCATGGATTCCTTCACCCAGCTTGCAGGACCTTGCTCTCTCCTGATCCATGCTTCCTCTTCCTGTATGGCTTCCCTATTTCTGTGTGTTTCTCTATTTAAACCCCTCCTGGTCATTGGGCCTCTTTTGTCCTGGTAAGTTTCCATTGCTCCTCGCCTCCTTGCTACCTTCTGAGGGATAAACTGGACTGGATTTCCAAGGCTTCAGGTCACCCATTGTTCCCAGGTGTTTGCATCTGAATAGGGTCACTGAGCCCTAAGCACCCACATTGTCTGTCTGCAATGGTAGATCCACAAACACAGAGGCATTCATGATACAGCAGTTTTTCAAAATACAATATCACCATTTCAACCAGAATTCATAAATGGTACAGAATCCCAATTAAGACACAGGACACAGTTGACACCTTGTCTTTCATATGTTCCACAGCTGGGGAATTCAGGAGTTTCTCAGGAGCCAGATCCCCCCATGTAACCACAAGCCCTGCCTGGATTGTTTTGGAGGAAGAAACTGGTTTGGCTTACAATACAATACAATATCTGTGCAAGCAAGACAGCTGTAAAATCACAGCAATGCACCCCAGTCTCCAGTTGCTGGATTGCAAGAAGAGTCTTCTATACAGGGTAGTTTCTACCCTTCCTGAATCAAACCAAGAGAAATGGAGAATGAAATACTGTTCTAAAAAAATATGATATGTAGTATCTCTACACATACTGTATGTTATTTTTTTTAAATCTATCCTCATGGAGGAGAGGATATATTCAGAAGAGCTGTTTAAGAGTGCCATACCATATGGCAGTGAACATGCCCAAGCAATTTGGGGCTGCACACACAAGGAAATCAAGTTACACAGCAGAGCAATAATGGTCTTTTGCTGTAACCCGGAGAATGCTCCCGGAATACTGTTCTCAGTTTTGGGCACCTCATTATCAGAGAAGAATAGACAGACTAGGAGCTCAGAAAAAAATCTCAAGGAAAGAAAAACAAGCCAATGCAATATTTTAGAGAGAAGAACTGAATATGTGCAATTTGTGTAATAAAACGCTAAAGGATGCGGGTGGGCAGAACAGAACTGCTTGGAAATATTATTTGGATGGTGCAAACAACAAGGATAAGGAGAAATTTAGCATGGTATGACTGGGATAAAGATAAAGGAAAATGCAGGCTGAATATCAGTGGTCGTTCAGCTGGCTCGCTGCACAGAGCTAAATTTCACCCACAGAGAACATTTTTATTGATAGAAAGATAAATTACCCCATTTGGTCAACACTTGGTCTCTTTGCACTGGCAACACCCAAGGCAGTCAATTAAAGCAAATAGTCAATGGGCTTTCTGTAATCAAATAGGGTTGGTTTGTGTTGCATCTGGGCTTCCAAAACTTTATTTCTACTCCAGTTTGTCTACCTCCTTTTTTTATGGAAGAAAACACTCAAATTGTACTACTCCTAGTACACCAAGAACACACAAAAATTAGACCTTTTGAAATAAAAGTCCTGAAAAGACAGATTCAGCAAAAGCATTGGAAATTGTGTGGAAATATAAGAACAAAGGGGGCAAAAGATTTAAGATAAGGAAAGGTCAAGAACTGAATAAAGTCAGGAATAGAATTTAAATACAGAGGAGAATAGTTAAGGAATAAACTACCCAAGGTACAGCAGCAACAGGATAAATTGGTAACACCAGTTACTGAAGAGTTAGGCAAATATTAGAGAGAAAACCACATGCTGGGGTTATACATGCAGCTTTGAAAATGGAAAGCCACCTACTTGCTTTCTAGTGCTATAGTGTCATGTAATGGAACCTCTTGCTTACGCTCTTTAAAATGAGCAAGTCGTTTGAGAAACACAGTGCAGCGATCAGGAAGATGAGTCGAGAAATTACTGCTGCAGCTCCTTTCAAACTTAGGTTCCAAACTGTAACCTTAATATTGTTTTAATTTTTGAATACACGAGGAAGGAAGGTTCATCTGGAAAATAGTCTGCCCAAAAGGCATCTTAAACCATGTTATCAGCTTCCATACCTTCCACTCAAGGAAATTTCTTCAGAGCCCAGACTTCTCACCTCCAAGAGAACTCTTCTGAGAAGGATTAGGCATTGCCCTTAACTATCAGTAGCTGGCAAAAGCAAATGCTAGACCACAGAAGTTTCTGTTCACTATTGTTGACTATTCAATGTGTAATGTCCTTTATGGCATAGTGGACTGACACTGGACTGAGACAGATGGCTCAGGGCAACCACTGCTGAGTTAGTAGATGAAAATCAGCTCCACACATTCTGCCCTCGGCCCCATGTTTTCCACCCCTCTCAACGTTCTGAATCTGCAGAACAGTAGTAGGCAAGCCGTCTCTCTCTCTGCCTGCCTGCCACCCTGAACTCTTCATGCTCTAATTTCTTCCTTCGATCCAAGCTCACAGAACTTCCTTCTCCCTTTGCATTGCACCGACCTAGACCCCCAGCACCATGACAGCAGACCAGATTTTCCGGGCGGCAGAGAATTGGGGCCCAGGGCCTGGAGGAAGCTGAGATGTATGCTAATTTAAAGGCCCAATTCTATATATGTGACACTTTTATGTTTGACTCCTTACTCATTCTGAAAGTTGCAGATTTCGGCCCTTAATACCGTTTTGCATTTTAACAGACCACTCAAAGCTTAATATAGAAACAGACAAAATGCAAAGCTTTACACTTTCGGAACCTTCTTAAACGCCTTTGAGAATAGTAAAATCCAAGCCATTTCATGTTTCTTTCCCAACAAACAACCCTTACATGTTGCTGCTACTTTATACAAACAGTGTCTGTACTAGCAAAGTAGCCTGGTTCTTCTGTTGTACTACAACTGTTTTCTTAAGGCACAGATCAATAATGTTCCTTGCTGTATATCACACTTGCTTTTACTGGCAGACTCCAGTACTGCGCTTGGTGCATTCTGGAGCTTAGCTCATCTTTATGGCACGCAATAATTCAGTGATTACATGTATAAACTCTCTCCCAGTCCTCCTACGGCTTTTCCTCACTATGCTAAACACCTATTCAGGCTGGGAATCCAAGTGTGACAAATTCTGGGGTAGCCATTATAAATCTCCACCATCCATATATATATGTCTCAACAGAATGCCTTTATAACTGGATAACTCATGTGAATCTTGTGCAGGATTGCCAGCATTGCAAACATGACCTCAGGAAATTGGCTTGGTTACCAGTATTCAGATAGCCAGACTCTCTATAGCTTTGAGTAGTAGCTGAAGCTTCCTGGGAGGGTCAGGCACAAGGCAGATGTATTTCTTAACAGTGGGATTTTGAAAAGCATCTGGAGGAGTTAGATGCCCAATTTCCCAGCCTAATAACACAACACTGTTCCTGCTGATGACTCTGGAGCCGCATCTGTGCATCAAGAACATCCTCCACATTTTGTCCAACACGAATTCCATGTTTTGATGTGGAGACAAATTTTCCTGGTTGTCCATTACTTTTGAAACACTATCTTAAGAGTTCATTGTGAAACACTGGACATGCTTTCAGGCCTCAGTGAATCAGTCTGCATTTCCCTGGCATGCACTACTAGATTAAAATTGACAGTAGGGTGGAAAGGCTTTTAAAACAAGGAATATTTCTATGGCTCAGGATCAAGATGTGCCACTTACTGACAATTGGGAGATGAGGAGCCCACCAGGCATCTAGGTACCCAGATTACAGCCATCTTTGAGCTCAGTCTGCCCGTAGCCTCAGGTATTCCATGAGGTCACTAAGAAGAGTGAATGGGGACAAAGTTTCTCGCTTCCTCCTTTTAAGTACACAAATTTCTCTCAGTCTAGTCTCCATTGTCTTGGCTGAAGTAACAAGACCTGGGATGACCATTGGTCTATAGGCCATCAGACAGAGACAGTTTGTACAGTTAGAGACTGGTGAGTCTCTGAGGTTTAAAAGCCACCCTGAGAAGAATGGAAGTTTGAGCAGAGTGGGAACATCTGGAAGGACCAACCACCAAAAAAGGACAAGAACCAAAGTGCTTTCAGCTGGAAGGGAAGAAGCCACCATGGTTCAGATTTAAAAAAAAAACAACAACATCCCATCCAGTTATTAAAAGCAAGGGGGAAAAGAAAATACACACAGCTGTGGAATGTTATCTACAGTAATTCCTACCCCATTTGTGCCTCTGATCAGCAATTTATGTATCTCTCCTACAATGTGTAGTGGGCAGTTCCTTGCCATTCGTTTTTGTCTCTGATAGAATGGTAAAAGTGTCCTGCATGAAAAGAAAGTGCACTCGTTTACTGAATTAAGACCAAGAAAGTGCATAGAAAGGAGTTTGGAACAGGCCACATAATGGTGCAGTAAACAGGTGGCTGCAAAATTAATGTAGTAAAATATAATTGAAACCTTCAACTATAATGAGTTTCTCCTGGAAAAGTCAGCAAGAGCCCAAGCATGGCATGCACATTCCTAATAAAGTTTCACTTCACTTAGCCCCTAAAGTGGCATATTAGTGTTTCTGCGTAAATAAAATTGCAGTGGTCCCTTTGCACAGCACAGCTACTCCCTGATCTCACAAAGCCAGCTGACTCACAACTCCCAGACAGCACTGCAGCTGCTCTCTACATCTGCCTCCCTTCTTTAGATGAACAGTTTCTTCAATCTAAATAGTCCTGAACCATCCGCTTCCCTTCTTCCTCTAGGGAACCATTCCAGAAGAATAGAGTGCTACCTGCACTTGAGTATATAGAATTTATCTGCTGCTTAAAAATAGTCCTCTTGGTGTGAAATCCGGCTTAGCTAACTGAAGCCCAGCCTCTGTTTGGGAAAGACTAATAATGAGACAACTACTATGACATTCCAACCACATCTGGACTTGATCGACATTTCTAACATCTTTCACCCAGGCAACTCTCTGATGTCACTGAAAAAACCCTGATTAACAACTGATGACGTCCTGCTGTCAGCAAACAAAAAATCATGGTAAACTACATTCAATCCCCCAGTAGCCCTGGATACACTCAGATGTTGGCACCAAGACAGTAGCTCCTGGTGGGGATGCTCTTGAATGAGTGCTCAGCACTATATGAAAGGGCCATGGTCCAGATTAGGCTACTGTCACGTGCTCCTACTTGAGTGACATTGATTCAGGAACTTGAATAGCAGCAGAATGAGACTGTCCACTTGCTCCTTGTGCTAGGAGTGCCCACTGTTATGTCCACAATGTGCCCAATCTGCATGGAATGCCGGAAGGTCAAAACATGTAGTTTCAGTTCAGGATTGGTATATGAAGCACTTCACAGTCTAAGACTTAAGAAACTTGACTATTCTTCCCTAGCTCTAATTCCCTGCCCATTTGAGGCTGACTGCTGGGAAGGGTCTGTTCTTACTCGTTTCAGAAACCAGGACTGGGACAGGATGCAATGGGTTTGCTGCTCTTAGTCCTGTTCCCAGTAGACAGGTATCCATACCGCAGAAATCACCATCATCGGCACTCACTGGAATTCAGATGGGCTAACTTTCATTCAACATTCCCTCCAGTCTGAAAGGGGCCTGGGCTTTTAAACTAGCAGGACTATCAATCTTGGTGGGAGCTGGCACAGTTCCAGCAGATGTAGTTCTGACCTTCCTCCCGCTCTTGGGGAAAGGGAGAAGAGCTTGAGACACCAGAGAGGAAGTTACTCTAAGACTCAGGGAAGGAGTCAGCTAGGCAGCAGAGGCAAAACTGTGCCACAAGCAGCCCTTACTCTAAACGTATTCCACTTTATTTAGCAAGCTTACAAGATGGCAAAAATCGATCCAAAGATGCCCTATTAGATGCCAGGCAGCTGGTGTTAAGTTCAACTCAGTAACTCCAACAGGGGAAGGGAGGACTCAGGAGAAAAAGCAAACAGATGAAGAGCCCACTCAGATTAGGAATCTGGGCCAAGCTTTCAAAAACAGAGCAACCGCCCAAATGCAAAGGTGAGTGAACAAATGTCAAGCACTCTTGCTCATGCAGTCAGTTGGGTGCATGGGCAAACTGGGTTAAGTATGTGCAGATAGTTACTTAATGACTAGATAAATGTGCATGTATATTTACCCAATTTTATGCAGAGCCATGGTAAATGCAGGTGGAAGGGTTTACACATCCTTATTCTCAGAACACATCAGTGCTGACCAACAACTGGTTCAATAAAGCCCTCCCTCCAGAAGCTGAAAGCCTTCTAGAAGCAAGAGTGTTGAAGAAATTCATGGAGAATAAGTCCATCAATGGCTATTAGCCAGGATGGGCAGGAATGGTGTCCCTAGCCTCTGTTTGCCAGAAGCTAGGAATGAGCAACAGAGGATGGATCACTTTATGATTACCTGTTCTGTTCATTCCCTCTGGGGCATCTGGCAGTGACCACTGTCAGAAGACAGGATACTGGGCTGGATGGACCTTTGTTCTGACTCAGTAGGGCCATTCTTATGTTCTTAAGAAAGCAGCATGCTTCAACATGCCTGGAGGCTCCCACCATACAAAATCACCACACACAAGGTCAGTTCTAAAACTAAGACTCTTTACTTGTATAAGCACCACTCATAAGAGGATATCAAAGCATGTCAGCTATCAGCAAAGGAAGCCTCACAGCACTAATTGGGGAGGTGTTTACCCCATTTTACAGATAGGGAAACTGAGGCAGGGAGGTTGCCCCAAAGAGATTCAGAAAGAGACCCAGGAGCAGAGGCAGGAGCAGAATCCAGGAATCCTGTCCCTCAGTCAGACAGCTAGAATAAACTGCCTTTTGCCAGCAGGTCCCATAAATCTCTCCCCTCATGTCTGCATGCAGTGTTGCAGAGTTTCACTCCTCTAGTGCCCCTTTAGGCCATCTGCCTTTATATGCCAGTCAGCTCTCCAGCTGAAAAGTGCATATTTCAGTTCACTTCCAAGGTGACAAAATGTCCAGGTGTAGTCCCAAAGATTCATTAACTATCCTCTGGGCCCTGTGCTCATCCCCTTGCCTTTCTCCAGCTCTGCTATTGAGTATTGCTCTGCCCAGCTCAAGTCTTCCTGAGGCCTCTAGCACCTTACCCCTTCACGGGAAGCAAGCCAGTCACTCCTCTCTTCTTGACTCTCAACCTATTTGTAAGGCTGAGATGCCTGATATTACCTGATCCTTCCTTAGTCCCATCTCTCCTGACTGACAAGGAACTACCTCATTACCACCCAGGTGAAGTGAATGATTAACTGGAACTTCAACCCTTTCTTGCCTGTGATGGGGTGAGAGCTCATGACATATTGTAACAATTGTTCCAATATTGTACAGGGAAAAAACTTAAGTATTGTTATTTCGGAACTAACATTCATGACCTCCTTGACTAACAATAGCCCAGCCCCAAACTCAGAGCAACAGAGCAAATCTTTGGTGGAGGAAATATTACAAACACATACCTGATAAAAGTGTGGCCAGAATGTACTGATGGCAAGCTCTGCCTTCACCCAACCTTCAGTAACAATCCCCGACACATTCCAGATGGGGTTGCCCTGTGGTCCACCGTTAACCTTCACGTAGACATTCAACGAGCCAGGGCTGGAGCGGTCTCTGCTAGACAGGTAGTAGTGAAAGTCGATGCAGTGAGTGTCATTTTCCTTCAAGGTGGGCAACAGCAAGTGAGCTTTCTGCCCAGATGCCCGTCCAGAGCTATTCACCATCATGAAGGAACCTAGAGAGAAAGAAGGGAAAAGGGGAAGGGAAGAGAAGAGGGTTTTTGGTTTGGGTTTTTCAGAGCAATTGTATCAGAAAAGTAAATGATTCTACATGATCTGCAGCAGTCAGAAAACAAAACGTTCATTTCATGGAGCTGAAGCCTCCTATTTTATGGATATTAAACTTACCAGATAGAGATTCAAGTAGATTTTGGGCCTGCTAACACGAGAGTATTATAAGAGTTCTTATTTTTGAATTTTCTTCTGTCAATTTCATTTTATATAACAGGGCAGGAAAATATTCCTTCCGAGTTAAAATTAACATACATCTTTTTGTTCCATGCTTCATGTATAGAGACTTACCAAATTCATGGCCATGAAAAACTCATCATGGACCATGAAATATGGACTCCCCCATGAAATCTGGCAATTATAAGGGGGTCACGGTATTGCCACCCTTACTTCTGCGCTGCCTTCAGAGCTGGGCTGCTGGAGAACAGCCACTGCTGGCTGGGCACCCAGCTCTGAAAGCAGCACCACCGCCAGCAGCAGCACAGAAGTGAGGGTGGCAATGCCGTGACCCCCCTACAATAGCCCTGCAAACCCCCCACAACTTCCTTTTGGGTAGGAAACCCCCCATCCCCCAGTTACAGAACTGTGAAATTTCAGATTTAAATATCTGAAACTGTGAAATTTAAGATTTTTGAAATCCTATGAACATGAAATTTACCAGAATGGACCATGAATTTGGTAGTGCCATATTCATGTAGTAACCAGCCCTACACAATGTGTGTACACCCTTGCATACCTGGCTCCCCCTATGGCATGCCCAATATAAAGGGATGCAGTGGGTGAGGCCCCCAATTGCCATAAGTCAGTGTAACACCGTTGCAGACCTGTGCCAGCTTACGCCAGCACAAGATCCAACCCAACATCTCTGTATAGTAAGCCTCTAAACACTCCCCTGCATTAACAGCACCCCCAGTTGCCAAAGTCCAGCAGAATTAAACGCGTGAGTGTAACAGTGACATCCCAGCTAGAAACAATGCAATAAGGACCGTTAAACCACTCGTGGGAGGAACTGGACACAAGTGGCATTCAGAGTGAAAATGCTGGAGTGGGAGGTAGTATAAGATTAGAAGGGATTCATGAGTTTGTTTACCCTGGAGCTTACCTTATATAAACCACAGCAGTGGGTGTTGAGGAACTCACAGCTTGCTACACCAAGCATTTTATTTTGAGACACGTTGGTTTTAAACTTGTCTCTTCACAGATGCATCAAGGTGACAAAACACATTAGCAATGAGAAAGCCGTTAAGGGAGTTATTTGGTTCGATTCTATTCAAAGAATCGGCTTTCGGTGTGGGCACAGGCAGGAAAATTGGAAAAAAAAGTATTGAGAGGAGGGAAAAAAATCTCTGTGTTTCAGCAGCCAGGCATGATAATTTTTAATCAAACGCAACCCTCTTGACATTCTCAGTTCCGATACTGCTGCCAAGTCATGCTACAAATGTATTTCTCTGCTGGCCTCTTGCAGTTCACAGAAGATTGAGTTTGGAAAGGCTCACTTCAGTTCTAACCTATAGAAGTTCCCTTTTCCTTTCTAATCCACGCTGCAGCAGTGTGACAGACACCCAGATGCGCCAGATAAACATTTTGATCAAATCTGCTCAGTGAACAGCCATATGCTATAATTTTTTATCAACGGACACTGGCAGCATTCCCCCCACAAAATCCTTCCCCCCCCCCGCCATGTTCATACGCACCCTCTCTCTCTCTCTCTCTCTA